TGGTTTGCACTGAAATATCTCGCTATGGGAAACGAATCGGACCATCGTTACCTTGCCAGAATGCTTAAATATGCTGGGTATGAAGAATAAACACAAGTTGTTTTTTACGATTTTTGACGACCCACTACTCGTTAAGAATTTTTGAACATTTTTGAAAAAATAGAAAACTTTGAAGCGATAAAGTATGCGACTTTTGAAGAGTATAGTAAAGTGTAGAGGTATCAAAATGAAGCTCTTGGAATGCGCTATCAAACGAGCGGTAAAGAATTTCGATCGGTTTAACTAGCCGTGTAGGGCGTTCGGAAAATCCGTATTTTTTGGGGAAATAATTCCAGATAAAATTACTTTACCATCCGATCCTTCTGATATTTTGCCATTAGCAATAGATATATAACTTCTAACTTTTGGCATCAAAATTCCAAATCCCGATCAAAAAATTTTTTGGCACTTTGCCAATTCGACCGAATTTGTAAGTTCTAGGCTCCAATAGTTAAAATTATAACATCGTTATCTTTGGCAACCAGGATTACATGCAACCAGTACAAAAAGTTATGTCAATAATGGGTTTTTTGTGGTCAACTGGGAAACGTCCCTTCTGGAAAAGTCTCGATTTTCCGAACGCTCCTATTGACGGCTAGTTAAACCGATCGATAATCTTTACCACTGATTTAATAGCGCATTCCAAGAGCTTCATTTTGATACCCTACACTTTACTATAACTCTTCAAAAGTTGCATACTTTATCGCTTTAAAGTTTTCTATTTTTTCAAAAATGTTCAAAAATTCTTAACGAGTAGTGGGTCGTCAAAAATCGTAAAAAACAACTTGTGTTTATTCTTCATACCCAGCATATTTAAGCATTCTGGCAAGGTAACGATGGTCTGATTCGTTTCCCCTAGCGAGATATTTCAGTGCAAACCAGGCACTTTTTTTTCTGGCCACCCCTGTAGTTATCGACGGCAGGCGATCATTTTCAAAATTATGATTTTAGAAAAGTGATTTGCAAAAATCTGAATTTCTGAAAAATGACTCGGCAAAAACTAGGTGCGGTATCTTAGCGCTTTTTCTAAACTTTTACTAAATTCTCTGCCGAGTTAAGAGTGTTATTCGGCCCACCGTCACAAACTTATTCTAAATCTCCCAAAACAAACTTTAACGCGCCTTGAGAGTTCCTTTAAAATTAAAATAAGGAATGGTAGGCTACATATTTCTATCATTCACGTTGTCAACAAACGGTTGTTAATATTTCTGCGTTTCTTCTATACATTCATTTAAAAAGGAATGTATGGAGTAGAGATTAGCCTCTCTCCATCGCGGGTCATTCTTCTTCCAGTTCCCTCCCATGCCCGAGGCCCCTTCGTGCCAGGCGCCTGCCCTCAAATGATAACGGACCAACCACGTGAGACCCCATAGTACAGCACGATCGGATTTTTGCAATATTTTCGAATCGGAAAGGGCACGTTTTAGCAAACAGGGCGCCTAAAACCGGATTCTGGATATATCGGCATTTTAAAGCCGAGCTCGACTGTCGAAAATACATATCTCAGTCTTTTCTCTCTCTCTCTCTCTCTCTCTCTCTCTCTCTCTCTCTCGCTCTCTCACTTTCTCTCCCTCTCTCTCGCTCTTGCCCTCTCTCGTTCTCTCGCGCTCTCTCTCATTCCATCTCTCTCCTCTCTCTCTCTCTTATCCCCTCTCTCTCCTTGCTCTCGCTTTCTCTTTCTCTCTCTCTCTCTCTCTCTCCTCTCTCTCTCTCTTTCTCTCTCTCTCGCCTCCCTTTAATATACCATAAAAGCGTAAAAATCTGTAAAATTTATTGCACATGTAATGGCAAGGGTTGCTGAGGGTCCAATATCGATAGGGAGGCCCGTAGAACAAGGAAAATGACGTAGGGGGATTTTAGAGCAATATGACATGGGCAGAATAATATTTTAAAGGGACTGGGAAGATCGCGTCTATAGACCGAGGATTTTATCACTCCCAATCCCTTTAATCTGGGCTAGGACCGAAAAAAATCAGAAAATATGAGAAAAACACACTAAAAATACCCGCTGCATGGGGAGAAGTCGATGCCAGATACCACTAAATTCACAAATAAAAAACACAAAATATGGAATCAATGGATAGGATTGGCTATAGGAGCGTCTCGTTGCCGGTGTGGAAATATACGTTTAGACCGTCGATCGAGTACTCCTTCCCGTTGGGTAGGTCTTTCCTGAAAAGTGCTGTAAATACCGTACCTCGAAGGCATATAGTACATTTTGGGGGGAAGGACCATTTTAGGGCACGGTGAAGCCGGAACCAACCTCAATGAATACTTTCGGCATCGCTGTAGGAAAAGGAAATTTCTAGCGTTCCGGATGTGGAGAAGAGAGAGAGAGAGAGAGAGAGAGAGAGAGAGAGAGAGAACGAGCGAGCGAGAGAGAGAGAGAGAGAGAGAGAGCAGAGAGAGTGAGAGGAGAGGGAGAGAGAGAGGGAGAGGGAGAGAGAAAGATGATCTGTTCCCTTGAAGTCTTTTGTACTTTTTAACGGCAAATTTTAGCTAATCTTTTGTATATTACTTTTTAAAGGCAACATTACATCAAAACTACATGTATAATAAGGTTTTATTAAATTAGATGATTTTAATAGACTAATACAGAAGTTTTCACGTATAAAATTTTATTCTTTTTATTTATATTTTGACATTTTTATTTATTTTTTTGGAAGTTTTTATTTTTTATGCATTATATTAACATTTTAAGGGCAAATTATTATTTGGAAACGTTAAAATTACATACATTACGGCAATACAATTGACTACGATAATACCATAATACCAAACTTCTATTTTTTCCCGAAAAATTTGCATAAAACCAACTTTTTGATGGACGTGCGTCAACTCCATTTCCATCGCCATTTTCGCAAAACGGCGTCGTGGACAGCTAAAACTACGTTACGCACCAAATGACATCGCCCCACCTCATTCTTCTGAAAGCCAGACCCCCGCCTGTCCTCCTCTATATCAGAAGGTGATCTGCTGCCTTTCCCCTCCTCGACCCGCAGAAGAACAGGAAGAAATTGGCGAGAATGGCCGTCACCTCATTGCGCAGTTGTTGCTAAAACATGGCCAGTGTACCGTAACCGGGATCTGTTTTATAGTACCTGACACGAGATGAGAATCGGCAACCGGAACGCGCAGGCGATCACCGACAGCAGCGAAATTGTGTCGATCAGCACTACCCAGACTCTGGAAAGGAAGTTTAAAGGGCGTGTGAAGGCAGTGGTTCTGTGGATTTTTCTCTAGTGCAAAAAACCCGGCGGACCAAAATGCCGACAGGCCCGTCCCGAAGGCCAAAATTCCGACTGAAAAAACACCGACAAACCAAATTCTCGATAGGCCAAAACGCCGACAGACAAAAGCCTGGAATGTGCTTTTAAAGGGCCCTTGAAGGCAGCACTCCCGTGGATTTGTCGTGGTGCCAAAATCCCGACAGATCAGAATCCCGATGGTCCAAATTCGACTGAAAAAACCGACAGACCAAATTCCCGATAAGCCAAAATACCGACAGACCAAGGCTTTGAAAAAGCTTTTGAGGGGCCTGTGCAGCCAGGGCTTCTGTGTTTTTTTGCGGTAGTTTTATGGATCGCTAAGTTTTAGGCAATTTGTCATTTCGAAATTTCATTATGCCGAAATTTTGTATGCGTTGCATTTGCATTCATTCATACTTGGCAGAAAAGTATAGCCAATCATCTGTAAGAAAAATGATTGCAATGCTAAAGTGTGAAATTCGATATTTTGACGTTTCGGCGTTATTATTTAAGGGAGGGAAATGTGAGAAGCTTTTCGAGTTATGCTAGTCGAAAATCCAAGTTTTAGCCTTACCGTGACCACACCTCGTAGCCATTTCTTTGCCCTCTTTGTCGACATTTTCCCAAATCGTAGCCACCAAGTTGAAGACGTTCGACGCCAGGTAGCAACAGACGACCAGCACCAGCGATTTGGTGGCGTTGCGGCGGACAATCTGTAAATGGGCGGCTATTCGAATTTGTTGGCTAAAGGGATGGGCAAGGCAATTCTACGAATTTTCTACAGATTATACCGAAATTCCAGATATTCGGCATTTCACCATTATGAAATTTCGACATTTGGAAATTTCGCGTTATGAAAACTTCGAGATAGAAAGTTCAAAAATTCCTTGTTCTTGCCTTGTCTATCCCTTTAAAGACACTCGAAAATTTCAACAAAAAAAAATTGCAGTCTGCAGCTCCTGGTGTCGTTCCTACACAACAATACACGGAACACTCCAAACTGTGCGCCGGCAGCGGTCAAAAAATAAAAACAAGCGTGCACCCGATTTTAAAGGGAGCGTGACAGCAAAAATTAAGTTCAAAGAATTTTGTAGCTAAATGACAAAACTAACACAACAACGAATTCAAAAGCTAATGTAAAAACGACGTCGACACCTGCCTTCACTGGCCCCTTTAAGAATGGCGAACCAAATTAGGAGCGGTAAGCAAAGCAAAAGCACAGGCTGCAGTTTGATAAGCGGAACTCAAAAAAATTGCGGGTGTGGTGTCAAGCAAGAGTCGGGCTTCGTATTCTCAAGCTCATTTTTGGACTACTTTTGCTTATTTTTTTTGAGGCTAGGGCTAGACTCCCCCCCTCTCTCTCTCTCTCTCTCTCTCTCTCTCTCTCTCTCTCTCTTTCTCTCTCTCTTTCACGCTCTCTATTTCTCTCCCTATCTGTCTCTCTTTCTCTCTTTTTTCTCTCGCCCTTTCTCCCTCCCTCCCTCTCTCTCTCTCCCTCTATCCCTGCCTCTCTCGCTCCCTCTCTCTCTCTCTCTCTCTCTCTCTCTCTCTCTCTCTCTCACTCTCTCTCTCTCTCTTTCTCGCGCTCTCTCTTTCTCTAGCTTTCTCTCTTTCGCGAAAGAGGAGCAAAATGAGCCAAAAATGGATTCCGTGGAGGGAAGTAGCCAAGCGTAGTCCCAAGCCAAACTTTTTTCCGACCAAACCTTTCTTTTGGCGTATTCGACGTCGCTGAGGTGGGCCATACTCTGTGATGTCTGTTTGGGCAAGGGGAACGCGTTTTTAACCTTGCTCCTGGATTTGTAATCCGAATTAGCATACGGTAGATTAGATCGAAGCTGTTTTTTAGTTTCGAGTTTATTAGGGCCCTTTTAAAGCGTTAGATCCGGCATTTTTCTATATAAAAGGAACGGTGACAGGCCAAACATACCGGAGACATTTTTTTACGCGTTATTTGGTGCAAAGCGTAGTAAATGCTGGTCTGGCTACTTTGCAGAGATCGTTCTTATTTGACCTGTCACTGTCCCATAATTAGTATACTATTACATAATATTATTTTATTTTAATAAAGCTTTTTTCTCAATTCTAGCATTAGTCACAGAGGTTTTGGAAGCGATATGGTAAGATTTTAGGGCAGTAATGGTAGTTCAGGCTTACCTTCCGCTTCGCCACGTCACCCGCTGCTGGCCCGGCCAATTGCGTGCAAACGGACATCTGCGGCTGTTCACGTAATGCCTGAAAAGTTATGTTTTGAAAAAATGTATATAAAGGGACTGAGAAGCCTCCGAAATCTACCTCTGCTGTACGCGGTCAAATTTTAAGTTTTAAATATTGGCTGTCGAGATTTTAGCCTATAGGGACTTCGTCTGTCGGCATTTTTTCTGTCAGGATTTTGGCTGGAATTCGATAGCTATACCTTTCATCCCCAAAAAACCTTTCATACCCAAAAATTTCATACCCCTTTCATACCCAAAAAAACCGACCACAACAATGAAGAAATTGAGAATGAGCAGGATGAGAAATGGAGCAATTACTGTAGCCACGTTACGGTACCTAAAAACATAAATTTTCGTAAAGAAACTTCCAAAAAGACTTACCAAACCCGAAAGGCATAGTGAAATTTCTCGTGCATCGCCCAGCGCTTCATGTTAATTTCCAGTTCCAACATTGTCCCCGTGCAGTTCTTGTTTTCTTTATACTAAAAAAACAGATGTTTTGGTTACTGTAATTTGTACGGTGCTGTACTGCAACGTAAGGAGTAAAAAACGTACCCGAAACTCTGCCCCGGTCGATCCTTTCGATAAAATTCCCATCACAATGGCAAACGTGGCGATCCAAACCCGATTTTTTGCACCCACGGTAGTTGTTTTGAATTGACAGTTATACAGTATCTAAAATGCGCAAAAATTATGTTTGGACAGACAGGATACCTTTCAAAAGTTGCGGCGACGATCAAAAACGTCGACGCCGTCAGACCGATATGGGATATTGTAAACATTGGTCGCATGTAGGAGTACCTGGCAAGGAGGGTAATTCGAACCTAACGGTACTGTAATACTTTAATAGTAAGGAGATCGTAATGTATCGTATTACAAGATTACCGTACTACTCTAAAAGTGTCGAAGGAAAACCATGCAATATTGTGTGTATTGCATATCATAAAAGTCCGGTATTTTGCTGTATTACATAACCCGGGGCACTGCGAAAAATACATATTATAAATTAGAAAACTAATTCATTTTAAGCATTTTTCTGGATTTTGCTTGTTTTCTCCCAAACTTTTTGATTTTACATTATTTTAGGTAAAAATGAAGCTATTTATATATTTCTTGACGCTCTAACGGCTTGTGTTACAAAGATTGGTTTAGGAAATATCGAAAACCTCGAAAATTAGCTTACACTATGTGGAAAGCTTCAGGTTTTGGTTTGAGCGTGGAAAATTGGGCTTCTCCATATAATTATTGCCCGAATCCCCCCTTACCACAACATGACAAGCCACGGCTGCTCCAAATAGTCCCCCAGCACGTTGACGGCCATCAACGGAATGTAGGCGATCGAGACAAAAGCGTCGAAAACGGCCAGCAACATCATGTAGACGTTGTACGAGGTACGGTGGTGCTTTCTGAAATTTGGCTTGTTGTGGAATCTAGGGATTTTATGGTGTTTGAAAAGTAGCTAATGTAACCAGCTCTACTATTTCGATTTTCAAGATTTTTCTCTTAAATTTTTCGCCAATTAGCCATTCCCCCGCCTAACCGGTTCGGCCGGCTGCCAATAGTTTTTCTGGACAAAATCCCCTTCGGAAGCCACCGGAAATGAATGGGTCCGGTGGTTGGCTATTTTCTTTCTCTCTTTCTTTTTTCCTGATTTCGATCTTTCTCTCTCTCCCTCTCTGCCTCTCTCTCTCTCTCTCTCGCTCTCTCTCCACCACTTTGGTGATTTATTGGGGGAGCCGGTGATTTGTTGTGGGTACTTCTACGGGGGCTCTCTTTGCCGGAGCCGCTAAATGACGATGTTTTGGGGTTTGGGCGGGGCAGCGGAAATGAGGTGTTTTCGGAGGGGGATGAAGCCCTAAAATAGGCGCATTAATGGGGCAGGGTTTTTCGGGAATTCGAGGGTGGTTCAGGAGAGGTTTCAGCATTCCTTTAGAGTCTTATTTTTGGATAGAACTTAGAGAGCGAGCGAGCGGGGAACGAGAGAGAGAGAGAGAGAGAGAGAGAGAGAGAGAGAGAGAGAGAGAGAGAGAGAGAGAGAGAGAGAACGAGAGCGCGGCAGAGGTAGAGAGTGGCAGAAAGCGAGAGAGGAATGGACTATGGAGAGAGAGCCAGCGAAAGATAGAGAAAGACAGAGAGACGGTGAGAGAGACGGAGAAAATTCATAGAGCGAGAGATAGACAGCAAGAGTGCCTGAGGTAACATTTGAACAATTGAGAGAGGAAGAGAGCGCGTGAGCGAAAGCAGAGAGAGACAGAGAGAGACAGAGAGAGACAGAGAGAGAGAGCGAAATATAGTAAGATTTATATCTACTATATAAATTTCTGATGTCCGTCCGCCCGTCCGTACACGAATTCAGCCAAATTCTGCATTCAAATTCAAATTTCTGCTGGGGAGGATTAGCGCTGAACCCCGCGTAGCGGGGTCAGCGCTGGTATCTAATCAAATTTTCGGCCCATTAATGCCCAAATTCACCCACTTTGACGCAAACAAATAGAAGAGCAACAAGTTCTCGATTATGGCTATCGACGCGATCAACGACCCGAATATCGTCACGTAGTAGAAGCGAAACCCTAAATGACCCCTTGTTTTGACACCACTGTACAGTAACCCACGAATTATCGGCGGTTGAATATATTCGCAATCACTGTCCGGCTCGGCCACATATTCTGCGGTATAGTCGGTGAGGAGGACGTCGAGCCACGAGGGTTCCGTGTCGACCGCGTCTACTGTAATTGGGTATAATGTGGAATTTTAAGGATTTGCGAAACGTTATAATTTCTTTTTGGTGCGCGGAATTTCTTCTAGTTAGACTATGAAAATTTATAGCTGGGCTTTTTTCGCTATGTTGGCCAGATGAAAATTACAAAATTAAGAGAAATTTTCTACTTTTCTTTTCATAAACAAAAGCGGCGAAAACTCCTACGATAATCATGAATTAATGTTTTTCGAGGATTGTAATCTTCTATTAACGTGACGTAAATTTTTCTGACGAGGGAATATGCAAATTAAACATAATCTGGCTGCTTTCGTGTTTTTTTCCAGTATCGCAAAGACAAATAAATTGTAACTGATGATAGTAAAGCATCATTTATTGAGGAAAATAGCCTTAAATCCTGGGAAAAATTAATTAGCTTACCTGACGACCCCGACGCTTCATCCATCGTCGTGGATCTGCTATATTTCCGTCGTTATGCCCAAAAATCGCTAGCCGGATCCTGAAATCTAAATTTTCAAATGGCAGACTGAGAAACTTTAATCGAGGCGCGAAAAAGGTTTTGGTCGCGGGGGCGAGAACGTTCTAATACCGCGCTAATGAACCAGAACCGCCAAAGACTGAATGGAAACCGGAAAGAGGCTCCAAATGTGGGCATGGTTCTGAATGAAACACAAGAAATAAATGAGAGTTTTTGGCGGCCCGCCAAGGTTCGTGATTTCGAGCAAACAAAGAAGAACGAGATCCGCCGAGGAAATTGGCGCTTTTAAAGGGACCGGGAAGGCAAAAATGGACGAAGGCACGGGCAGGAAATCAGCTTCAATAGAAAATCCGCAAAAATTCTTCAGAAATCGGCGGAAACACAGCCAGAGGGCCAAAAATAACCCCAAAAAAACCCCAAATCAGCGCAGTTTTCGGTGTTCCATGAATCGGCGAGGTGTTTCTGGGGCGAGGGTGCTTAGAACAAGGAATTACCGGGGGCAGAAAACGAGGTGCCGGATCTGGGCCTGGAAACCGGCGAAAATTTTTCGTGAAACAGGACGGAAGGAAAAAAGGGTCGAGGTTTAGCGGGTGCCCTCTGGCATGGCCTCCTCTCTCTCTCTCTCTCGCCTAGGGTTGGCCCATTTGGCCCTTTGCCCGTCGGCCGCCCTCGTTTTGTCTGTCAAAATCAGATTTGTGCGCGCCCCGCGATTATTGCTGCTCGGGCTGGGTGCTGCCCCTGCGTCCTCGAGGTATGCATTGGGTTTTAAACATAGTTTTAACACGTTTTCAAGTGGCAATAGGTTTTTGGGCTTAAGTGCAGTTTACTCCCCCCAGCCCAGCTCCTCAAGCCATATGTCCTATTAATGGCCGAGTATCTCAAAATGTTCGCCGTGGTCGAAAACCCCTGGAAAAATTGTTTACTTGCGCCAAAATTGTTAGAAAATTTTTACAAAATTTTGAAAGTTGAAAAGATTAAGCCGCTATGCATCAATGTACCAGGAGTCAAAAACTCAAATATTTTTGTTTTCCGCTATTTTTTTCGACCCAAGCGTACTGTAGGCTTATTCTCCAGAGCAAGAGCTACATTTTGGTACCATTGACAGCTCTGTACGACTAAAGATAGCCGAGATACGAAAAACTCACTTTGGAACAGCAAAAATTAACTAAAGAAAACCCAGACTTATAATTCTTATAAAAATTTTCTAACAATTTTTGGCGCAAGTAAACAACTTTTTCCAGGGGCTTTCGACCACGGCGAACATTTTGAGATACTCGGCGCATTAATAGGACGTATGGCTGAGGAGCTGGGCTGGGGGTAAACTGCACTCTAACCGGTTTTTGGGTAGCTATCATGTCACCGTGGATAGGCGTGAAGCGGAAAGCTATAGGATTCGGACCAAAAAGCGAGAGTAAAAGGGCCCGCGGCCCTAAAGACTTTTTTCACGACTTTGTATTAGTACTGACGTTTTCAAAGCGTAAGATTTTTCTAACGATTTCGTACAGTATCGTACAACCTTGTATAGCGTATAATTATGTACTATTGCGTCCACTAGCGTCCACTAGCGTACACTAGTGTACACTTTAGTATAACATATCGTGTATCGTATCGTTAAACTAGCTATAGTTACGCAGAATTCCGCACAGTAGGTTACAAACGCGTACAATTGCCGAAAAAGTATGGAGTAGCGTACAGTTGTGGACAGGTGGAACCCGAAAATCCCGAAAATCAAAACACCGTCAACCAAAAATGCCGACGACCAAAATGCCGACAACCAGAATACCGACAGCCTGGAATATCGACAGCCGGCAGTGGCATTCAAACTAGCTTTTGGCGCGTCGAGATTTGGTCTGACAGAGTATGGTTGCAATTCCGTACAGTCACGTACTCTAGCGTAAAGTCGCGTAGTGTCGCCAACGTAATCGGCGAATAACGCACAGAGTATAGTAGCGTAGTGACCCCTGTCAATAATCACAGCTGTTGGGATATCGCTAAATTTTGCCCTTCAAAGCTGACTTTGCCCACTCAACTTTGCCGCTAGCGAAACTCCAAAAATAGATTGAAGGCAGTTTGCAGGTGGGCGGCTTGGGGGGCATGGGGACTAGAATTCAACCTGACACAACGATTCCAACAAATGGCCCATACCAACACTGCAGCCATCCCCGTCCCTCCTTTTCGGAGCCATGTGGCTCGAATTAGGGCCCAGGAGGGGGGATGGCCGAAACGGGGGGATTGAAATAGAAATGGAAGCAAGGGTCGAAAAAGGAAAAGAATGGAAATGAAAAAGCATGGAAGAAATGGGGGACTTAAAGGGAGCGGGACAGAAAGCGTGGATGGCGAGATAGCTGTCACTATCCTTTAAAGCCAGCAGAACTTGCTGGGAAGTGCTTTAAAGGGACCGGG